TTTTGAGATGAAGTCTCACTGATTTCCCAGGCAGGACTTAAACTTGTAGTCCTCCTGCCTCAGCCTCCCAGAGTGTTGGGATTACAAGAAAGCACACCAGAATCTTTTAATAGCCCTCTAAATCTTTTTTTTTTCTCAGTGCTGGGGACCAAACCCACATGTGCTAGGCTGTACCACTGAGTTACATCCCTGGCCCCAACTGGGCTTGTAGATTCCCTTCTCAGCACAGCAATCGCTCTGATCCCTACAGTGCAGGGCAGGCCATATCAGGCGCTCAGAACTCCACAGTGGCTGAGGACAGAAGTCCTTGCAGCGGGACACCCACTGCTTCTCTTGCGGTGCCGTCCCAGCGCAGCCTCCGCTGTGTCATACTGTGGCATGCTTTTGCCCAGGCCCTTCCACCCAGCGTCTGTCCTTCAGGGCTGTGCTCTGATTTGCAGATGTCCCCTCCGCAGCAGAGCTGTCCCCCCCTGCCTTCATGACCTGCCCCTTCTCGAACACGAATCACCTGCACCACACCATAGGCATCCTCGTTCGCGAAGCTTGTTGTTGTCTCCTCTGCCGGACAAACCCCGTAAGGGAAGAGGGGGCTGTTTGTTGCATTTTGGAACTACTTTTATTTTTTTTATTTATTTATTTTTTTTGGTTTTTCTCCGGTACTGGGAACCGAACTCATGACCTTGCGCTTGCCAGGCAGGCACTTTGCCGCTGAGCTAAATCCCCAGCCCCTGGAACTATTATTCACTGAAATCTCAGAATAGTGCCTAGCACACAGTAAGCTCTCAGCCAATTTTTGTTGAATTAACTGATTTTTTAAGTTAAATTTTTTTTTTTTTAAATCAGTGAGCTCCTCAGGATTAAGATGTCATGGATTCATCCTCTAGTTGAGCCAGGGAATGAAGTTTAAGGAAATCAGGACATGGTTAGTTGCTCTTTCTGTTTGGAAGAGGCAGAGCCAAGTTTTCCTGAGGGTACCCTGGGCACCCATAGCATGTCCTTTCCCCCCCATGTGCTCCTTCTTTCCTGCTCTGTGCTTATAGCCTGGTTTTTTCCAAAACCCAATCACTTTTCTAGAAATTGCTCACTAATATGTTTTGTCCTAGCCAGTGTGATATTTGTTTTTCTGCAGTGCTTCTTAAAATAATTTAGTTACCAACATTTAGAATTCAGTTATTTCAGAAGAAAGTCTGAATTTCTTGCTTTGGAAAAATGGGAAGTTCTGATAGGTCCTGCTCTCACATGACAGCGACTCCTGGGACTGAGTAGCGCAGGTCCCTTGCACACCAGGAGCAGCATCTCCTTTTCACTGCCCCGTCCAGCCCTGTGAGCGTTCGACTATACACCCCCGTCTTCACTGGAGTGCTTTGAGTGAACTCTAAGTCATGCTTTTTAGATAGTGAAGGTAATTTTCATTACCTTTACCTGAAGGAATTTTTAATGACTTTTCTGTTAAGTGACCTAGCACTGGTGGTATTGGCCAGAAATAAGCAGCAGTTAGAAGGAGGAGTAAAAGACCTGCAGTATATTCTAGCTGTCACATGTGTTCATTTGCTCACCCTTCTTAGTATCTTAGTACTTTTGCACGACATTCTAGGTTCCGTGAGGATTGACTTTCCTACCTTCGTAAGCTTCCATGTCCACTTGAGAAGTAGCCAGGGAATGGAATTTAAGAAAATCAGGATTCAGCTATTGGTTCATATAATGGCCTTATATAATTTTTTAAAAATCATGTTCAGGTGCCCACAGATAGAGAGGTTTAGATACTTCTTGTCGCGTGATGGAAAGACATTAGCAACCATAGCATGGGAGTGCTGGGAAGCTGAGAGAAGGGAGCAGGGGCAAGGTGGGAGAATAAATGCACCACCCAGCAAAAGGTCCACCATGCTTAGTTTCCTTACAGCATCTTGAGACAGTCGGGGAACAAAATAAAAGTAACCCCAGGGTTTCATAGTGAGGGGATCTTGAGATGTGCCAAGTCAAGTCTCAGACTAAATTGTATGAGTTTATAAAGGTGCCAGGAATTTGCTCAACCAAAAAAAATTGTCTGATGACACCTGGCATCATTGTCATGGTGACTTTTATTGTTTCTCTTCCTCTTCTGGTAAGAAAGCTATATTAGACTCAACTTGAAAGCAGGCGCAGAGAAGACGGGTCTGCCCACCTTCTGCCCGAGCACAGGGGCAGGTTTTCCGTAAAGGAGTAGTGCAGTTCAGTGCCCAGACTTGTGCTTTCTGTGGCTCGGTGTTCTGAGTCTCAAGGTTTGGAGGAGAGTATTCTTTCAAAGGGAACAAGAGAAACCTCAATCCTTGGGACCACTTTAAAAGGTCAGATTTTCACTCCGGGTGAAGGATGTATTCTTCTGCGGTAAGAATGAATTTCAGGCTCCTACTGCTAAGCTCAGATAGCGGCTTTTGTTACCTTTGTAGCTAATTTCAGAGCAAGCCATTATGTCATTTTAGCAGTCCAGGGCCTTAAGGTCAGCTTACTGAAAACGGATATCATTTCCATTAAACTCAAGAGATCAGTAAGAAAAGAATCAGCATGTCCTAATCCAGGAGTTCCTATCTAGCTCTGTGTGCTGTGGTGGCCACAACACCACAGGCTTCCCAGTGTGTTCTCCTGACATGTTTTCGCTGAGACACTTGATGACTTGTGCTAATGTCATCTTCTGGAATGGCCTACAAATCTGATTTTCAAATCACACCTCCATTGAACTTGAGGAGAGATGCCTCCTCTAACATAAGTGGAAAATAAGCATGGTCTGTAGAGTGAATAGATCTGCTTTCCCTACCTCTCCTGGTGCTTTCTTCAAAAGCCTGTTTTCTGTTGTCTGCTCAGGAAGTGATATGTATCTGACATAAGTACCTTTATCTATTCCAAGACAAGTTGTTTTTCTAATTTAGCAGGCACCAAGAGGGAAGCCAGTGAAAACTTGTCTTTTGCTGTGCTGAGCACATAACGGTAGAACTGCATTTCCAGTGTGGCATCTGGACGTATCTCCAGAGCTCCCAGAAGCCTTCTCTGAGTCCTCTTTGTTCGTGACGGTTGGGAAAGAGGGTGGTCCTTTTAGCGTTTTAGTTGGTGCCCTTAACCAAAGAGAAGACATATGGCACTGAAGCGAGCACTCCACCCCAGTGATTCTTAACCTCATTTTGTATCAGAATCACCTGGAAAACTTCATACACACAGGTTTAATTGATCAAAGGGGAGGCTGAATGTCTAAAGTTTCCTAGATAAAGCCAAGTGTGGTGGTGCACACCTGTAATCCCAGCAGTAGTGAGGCTGCGGCAGGAGGATCACCACAAGTTGGAGGCCACCCATGTGAACTACATAGTGAGACCTTGTCCCAAAAATGTGTGTATGTGTGTATATATATATATTTTTCCCCTCTAGATAATTCGGATGTACAGTCAACGCTAAGAATGAGGGTTTTTACGTTGTCCCAGAGTTCCTCAGAATTCCTGAGTTCCTTCTGAGGAAACAGGCAAGTTGGGGACAAACGGAAGCAGTTCTAGGGCCCCTCTCCCCTTAGCTATCGCCCTTTGGCCTGAGCAATTCTCCTTTTGTCTGTTTTATATATTGTGTTTTTAAAGGGAAAAAGTTTTCTCTCTGGTACCAGAAATCAAACTCTGGACCTCGCGTTTACCAGGCAGGCACTGTGCCACTGAGCTAGACCCCTGACAGGAAAGAGTTTTTAACTGTGGCTCTAGCTATAGGCCCAGTGTAAGACGAGCAAATACGGTTTTCAAAAATGTTGAGGAGTGAGCTTTCCTCAAAATGGGATGTGTTATGTAGCTTCTGTGGAGTGTCGGGGGAAAATAAATCTAACAGTGACGAACAGCTTCCCTGTGATCTAGCATTTATTCCAAATAAGCAAAGTCCTGGTCAAGAAGAAAGTAACTTACCCCTGCAGATGCCTCACACAGGGGTTGTATACTGCCCCCTCATGACCTCACTGCTCGCATGGTCTCTGCAGTGCCCACAGTGGCTTTACACTGGCACCGGTGTCCAGCTCACCCCAGTCTCCAGCCTGCCACACCAGCTGTGCGTGACCCGCTCACTTGGCTGCGGACCATCTTGACGACCTCGGCCCTGAAAGCAGTCGTGTTTCTAGACCCTACAGAGCAACGTATCTGTTTGCTATTTGCAGAGATAGTTAACTTGATCCTTGAAAACTGTCTACCCTTGGCTAGTACAAGATAATATAACCTCGTTTGCGTCTACAGTTGTTATTGTTTATTTCCCCTTCTCAGGAAAAAAAGTACAACTTTTATTGAAGAAAATAATTTATGTGGTATTAGAACTTCATACAAAGTTTATACAAGGTATTCATTATAAGTATTGTATTAAATGTCTTTCTAGAGAGCCAAGATGGTATATTTGTCTATTGGTGGGCTAGACTTCATTCTTTTTTTTTTACCTAGGTCAGATCAAATCTCATTCAGACTGTTCTTCTGCTGTATCCTGTATTATTTGAATACTCGTTGCTCTGTGGTCTCACTAATGGACTAATTTCCTGAGATTACAAATTGGCATGCTTTCGTTTCCAGATTGCAGCCTGTCATCATTTTTCCAGTTTTTTTTTTTTTTGACATGTTTGTTTTACACTGTATCACAAAATGGAGTTTCTCATTTCACCTCCTCTGAAGTCATTTGTCCCCTTATAATCAGTGAATAAGCTGTGCATCCAAGGATGTTTATCCAACGGCACCAGTCAAATATTACATTTTAAAAAAACAATCATGCCTTTAAAAAAAGTTGACAAGTCAATTTTAGTTTTTTAAAAACAGTAACTATAGCCCATTTCCCAAAGCAAATTAGTAGAAGTCAGTTTTTTTTTTCAATTCCAATAGCAGTTCATACCATAAAATTATTATTGAAATTATTGCCATTTTTTGGCTATTAGACTCTTTCTTATTATAACTTAAAACTTGGACCAGAAAAGTATAGAAAGAGCATAATTTTAAAACGTACAGCATAACTTTTTTTTCTTTTTGTAGCATTAATCTTATCACTGGTCATTTAGAGGAACCAATGCCAAACCCCATAGATGAAATGACAGAAGAACAAAAAGAATATGAAGCCATGAAACTTGTCAACATGCTTGATAAACTTTCCAGGTATTGTATTCCCATCCATTTTTTGCTTGGTTTCTAAAAATGTTCTATTTCTTTGTCTCTCTGACTGAGAGTTACCATAGAACAGCAACTCCAGAAATCCCTGTGATTGGAAAAGGGTGGCCCAGGCAGCAGTAGTTCAGACACCTCTTGGCTACCATGGTTTTTCTACATGTGCCGCTTCTGGATGTGCATTCTTAAACATTTAAACTGTAGAGCTGAGGTAGTAACTACTAGGTCATTGTTAATACTTAACCAACTAACCTCCCTGTCTTCCGAAAGGTTCTGTTGAGTTAGACTCAATAGTTTAGCAGCTGCTTGTATTTTTGTTTTAGTCCGTTTTGGTTCTTGTTCCAAATCATGATGCGCTTTTTCTTTTCCTTTTCATTTTTGATGTGCAAGTTCGCAATTCTGCTTTTTTGGGTCGCTGCTGAAACCAAAAATTCTAAAATGCCATGCACCCAACAGGAAAAAGTGAAAAAATAGCTCAAATGAAGGATTTTCTAAAAGCAAGAACTTGTATTAATTAGGGGTTCTAAAAGCAAGCTGCCCTTCCCCTCTTGGTTCACACCTCCTCCCCTTCCAAAAATAACTAGTTTTGAAAATAATTGAATCAAATGCATACTAATCATCAACTAGTTCTACTGAGGAGCTATTAGGACATACTTCCTTTCATACTTGGCTGAATTGCTGTTTTCTAGTCATACATTGAGTCACTGTCTACTTGAAGCCGTCTTGAGTGAGTGAGTGTGTGTTGGGTGGCAACTGCCACTTACAGGTGGATCTCCTCCCGTCATCCGCTTCCTCACCGTAACTATGCACAGGCTGGGGTCCCTCACGGGGAGGAGAGCAGTTGGAAAGGGAAAGCCAGAAAGCCGGCCATGGGAAGAAAAGGTGTGAAGAACAGGCAGGTGCGGGGAAAAGGCACAGCAGGCAGCTTAGCATAGACGGGGCTGGAGAGCAGAGTGACGCGGGGTGTTTTCACACTGTGGGCAGAGCTTTTTCATACGGTCTTGGTAACATGCTAGGAGATGTTCAGAAGTAGGCAGTTCGTTATCTACAAAGTATAACTAGAATTCAGTGACCACCACTTAAGTCTTCATGCTTTCTTAAGGTTAGAATTTATAGCTAACTGTCCTTAAAATCTTCAAAGGACATTTTTGCCTATTTCCATACCTTTGTGCGGAATAGACATGTTCCTTCCCTGAAGGAATGAACAGTCAGGAAGGTACTGATAAGGCAGACCTATACGAGACAGAATAACAAGTTCAGTAGAAGTAAGATATGGTAGCAGGGAATGTAGCCTAGTGGTGCAGTGTGTGCTTAGCCTGTGCAAGGCCCCAAGTTCAGTCCCCCAAAATAAGAAAGAGGGTTATGCAAAACTGAGATGCCTGCGTGCTTGGTTCCTTCTAGGCGGGATCGGTGTGACTAACACAGTGGCCCAAGTTAGGATGCGCACCAGCAGAATCCCCTGGTAGAAGCTGAGTGGGGAGTTGTTAGCAGGACCCAAGGAGCTCGTCAGTGTTTAGGACAGGAAGACATTTAAGTTGTTTAAGTTTCACGTTCTGACGACCAATATGAATTTTCAGAAGTTAATTCAGATTCCGTGCAGCTGCCCCATCTACTCTGAAGGAGTGAGTGTCAAGCTAGGGTAATGGAAGATGGGAAGAGAACTGCCCGAGATAGTGCAATACGACCTGGGTGCTTGGCTTCCTGAGAGACAGCGGCAGTGTCGTAAGGCCTCCCTGTCACAGGCACAGCGAGACAAAGGGGCTCGATCCTTCCCTTTTTAATCTCAGGATACTCCACACACTTTAGAAGTGCCAGTAAGTAAATACACAACTGCTGAATCTGAAGGGCACAGCTGCCACCTGGTTTAACGGTGCCTCGGAGAAGGTGCGCACTTGCCTGGAGACACCAGCAGGTGCTGAGCCCAGCAGGAAGGTGATACCATCTTTGCACGAGTGAAGCAGAGTACATGTGTCTTGTGTTAGCTTTAGTGGTACCAATTTTGCTGTTAAAGTGGAAGCAAAGGTAGCCTGGAGGAGAACCTGAAATCACGTAGGCGTTTTGCATGCTGTGTGGTGGGTTGTCTGCCTTTGTGTGCTTTCTAACATTTGCGCTCTCTATAACACTCAGTGACAAAGTGTATGCCGATCAGTAGTAAGCATCCAAAACAGGAGTGCAGAGAGGAGCCATTCTTCATGCGTCTGTCTTGTTTGTCATGCTGTGGCCCTCATTAGTCTTAAGTTTCTTCTCTCTCTTCACTTTTTTCTTTTGAGGTTATGGGAAAAAAAGGTGCCATGAAGCCAAAGTAGACCAAATTCAGTACAATGCAGGGAACAGTCACTAAGCAGCTACTCTACTGAGCACAAGGGTAGGAAACCCAAGAAGGGTCCGAGGTGAATGTAACTGTCTGCCTTTGGAAAACTCACATTGCAGTGGAGAAAATAGCTACAATCTATTCTAGAATACAGCATAGAAGGAAATTGTGACAAAATGCGGTCTGCATTGAGCTGTAAGCACCCAGGAAAAGGAGCAGTTCATTTTGTGTGGATGCTGCAGAAAGTGATTCGTGAGGAAGGTGGTAGCATGTGTGCTGATCCTTGAAGTTCCAGAGGTACTTAGAGGAAAAGTAAAGAACGGTGGGCCATTCGCTGGAGGCAGAGGAAAATGGAACCGTGCTAATAAGCCTTTGGTATTCGCATACTGCATCTTCATTCCAAAGAGCTTGGGTTAATTTATCATTAAGGGGAGCAAGGACCAAAGAATTGCCCAGAACTTTCCCAAGCTGATATGGTAATCCGTTCCCTTGTGACCGTTTACAAAACATTTTCATGTACATTCTGTCTCTAGCTTCAAAATGAAGTGAGAGTAGGAGCTTCATTTTCCAGAACTCAAGACCTCTGCTCTGTCCCCTGTGTCACTGTGTCTGTCTGTTATCTAACAGTGTCTGCCAAAGCACTTCCTAATCGTCCTGTCAGCATTGTGCTACTGGTTAGTTCCCTCTGCTGTTGCCCTGGGAAGTTCTGCATTCAGCCAGTCTTTATTGTGCTAAGAATGTATTGTAGCCTTGTCTGGTTAACTTCCTCTCTCAGAAGTGAAATCATTTTCTTCTGCACCTGAGTTGAGAGGCTTTGTGCATAAAGGACAGGGTTGGAGGTGGCGTGGCCAGTGCACGGACATTAGACACTTCCTTTTTTCCATCCATAGGAGAGCAGATGTGAAGGACCCGCACCAGGATGGTGGTTAGCAACAGTGGCCCGTGCCAAAGCACTTACCAAGGTGATGACTAAGGTTGGTCATGCCAAGTACTGTTACTGAGCTTGGTGTAGGGTGTAGCGCACTGCTCACTACCCAAAACGTAAAGCCCTGTTGTACGCCTGAAGTCACTTGCCCACTTGGCCTCCATGCCACTGCCTTGACATCTCCGTCCCCGCCAACGGCACACGCACTGGAAAGCGCATTGCTCAGACGCTGTCCTCTCCTTGCACACTGACTGACTCAGCATCCTAAGGGAGTTTACTCCTAATACGAGGATCACATTTGTGGCGGTGTTTATGCCCCTTAAGTGGGGATTGACAGTGCACTTGGAGTTCTTCAGAACTGGAGAATGACTGACCTGTAGCTCCTCTCGTGTGGAGCTAGTACAGGGCCTGTAACCTGTGTTTTCCCCAGTGTGGACTCCCAAACTTGCAGGTCACATTTTTTGCTCTGTAAATAGCCTACATGGCTTAGGACTTTACAGTGTGCTTTAGAGTATGGCTCTGTGGTGGAGCGTGTGCAAGGCTGTGACTCAGTCCCCAAAACTAAATAAATAGAGCACACTTCGTGAGTTCCATTGCTTGGCCAGATTCTATAAAACCCAGGACTGAAAAGACATTTCTAAGGCCTTTGGGGACATGACTGACTAATTTAAGTGTCTGGGTACATAATTTTCTCACTGTAGAGTGATACACATAATATTCATCAAATATACGCATTGGCTTAAGGAATAAGTTTACAGAAAGCTTCCTTTGGTGTTTACAGTGGGAGAGCACAGGTAGAGGATAACATTTGTGTGTCTCCACTTCTTTCTCTGACTTGGGGAAGAAATGAGCTCCTGCAACTGGAGCAACATTCGCATGGGGTCTGTGTGCTTCAATAAGTCCAGTGGCCGGGTGCAGCTGTGGTCGCCCTGGCTACAGCACACAGCTGCATAGCACAGTGGTCCCACGCAGAACGGGAGCGAGCCCTGGCTGACTTCAGCCTAAACAACCCAAGGAGTATTTCAAGTCAGTTTTTTTTTTTTACTTCTCTGATTCCTGTATGCTCTTAATCAGAACCAGAACTGATTAATGTTCCACCCCCCCACTCCGTAACTGTTTAACAAGGTGCACTGCCTGTTTGATTATATATTTTACCATTTTAAAGTTTGTAGGTATATAAATAATAATGGTTCTAGCACTTCTTCTTTTTCTCATCCTCTCCCTAGCCAGTAACTGTGATTTCTTCTTTATTTTTACTTTTTGCCAGCCATAATATTTGGGCCATGGCTTCCTTCATAAGTAGAAGTACCAAATATAAGAACAGTTCTTTTGAACTCCAAGATTATTTTTGAACTAAGGCTGAATGACTTATGACTGAAAAGTAATGTTTTTCTTATAAATAAGTTATTTTACTCTTACAAAAGAACTGATTATATCTTTCTCTGTGATGAGTTAGTCAAGAAAGTGCCTTGCACGTGCTGTTCAGAAACACGGCCCAATGTTTAAAGCATTAGGAGACCTACTGTAGGTAAGAAAGTGTGGAGATCTTAATTGCTTGACCAGAAAACCCTTTATAGATCTGTAGTACCCAAGGTGATGCCCACTAGCCATATTTGACTGTTGAGCACCAAAGTGCGTTTAGGCAAATTGAGATCCCCTCTGAATGTAAAATACCAGGCTTCAAAGACTTACTAAGAAAGAGCAGATGTAAAGTATCTCACTAGTTGTTCAATATGGGTTACATGTTAAAGTTAT